ATTGCAGTTGGCATTCGGGTCCTGCGGATGAGGGATGGTCTGACCGGGTAGAGTACCAGGAGTCCTCTGAGCTACAGCCTGAGCAACACTCCCAAGCTGGGTTTGGATATCCCGAAGCACAGCCTGCGTGTTTCTCTGACCAGCTTCTAGCTCCATGAATTTGCCTGAAGCCTTCTCCATGAACTGCTCGATGTTCTTAAACTTGGTTGCACTGGAGGTGGCCAGAGAACCCACCAGATCTCGCAGTTCCGCCATCGGGTCACTTTGTGCTGGGGCTGCAGGTGCTGCCCCTGTCTGCTGAAATGGCCGCACCTGTGACTAAGGTGGAACTGGCCACTGTCTGGGCGAGTAGAGTGGCTGCTGTGGCTGCTGAAATTTCCCCTGTCTGGGCTGGTACGGAGGCCTCTGGAAGCCAGGTGTTCATTGGGGGACTGGTGGTCTGGAATTTGCCCCACCCCGAGAGAAGTTGGGATGCTGGTGCCACCCCTCGTTGTAAGTGTTGTTGTAGGGGTCGAAGCGTCTGGCATTGCCGATGAAGTCCAGCTGCTCCTGGGGAGTAGAAGACTCCATCATATCCTGGCAATCCTCCACGGTGTGATGAGAACTCTCACACCACTGGCCGAGCATCGCCTGCTGCTGTCCGGTACCTGCAATCATCCCGGAACGATCGATAGCTGAGACCAGCTTCGATACCACCTGCACCAAATCAGATGACTGGGTGGATACATCATGCACACCCCGTCCTGGTGCTCGTCTCGATCTCCTCGAAGTTCCCCAGTCATAGCCCTGCTCTGCCATCTCCTCAAAAAGTTGATTCAGCTGGGGTAGTGTTTTGGTGAGCATATTCCCGCCACAAACTGAGTCAATCAGCTGCTTGTCTTCTGGGAAGAGGGCATGGTAGAAGGTTCCCACCTTGAAGGCGTCAGTAAAACCATGGTTAGGACACTTGAGAAAGAGACTGGTGTATCTCTCCCAAGCATCCCTGATGGTCTCATCCACCAGGTTGGTGAACGTGGTGATGGAGCCTGGAGGTCCAGTGTCTAGCCACTCCGTGGCCTGTCCCTCTAGAGTAAACGGGAAGTACCTCAGGTGGATGGCATCGGCTGGGACCCCATTTATCTTGATTCCATCGATGAGCTCGTGGAATCGCCTGAGATGTGATCGGGGGCACTCTCCCTCTTTGCCACGGAACACCATCGAACCGCGCAACATGGTGATGACGGAGGTGCTCACCTCAAAGTTGTTGGCTGGGACATGAGGGTGTTGAATAGGTGACCTCATGTCCGCGGCCCTAGCGGTCTAGTAGTATCCCATGGTCTGCTCCTCAGGAAGGACCACATCATGGTCCTGTGGATCACCCATCTCTTCTTCTTTGGCGATCTGCAGCTGTGCTAGCTCCTCCTCCGCAGCCAGTCGCGCCTTTAGAGACCGCTTGAAGTTCCTGCAGGTTCGTTCAAGCTCCTGGTCTAATGGTAGTAGATCACCCGACTGGCTACGGGTCATGCACTACCTGCACACAATAAGCAGAAACAACCCGTGAAGGCACACAAGTGGAAGAGAGAAAATGCAGTAAAGAAAAAGCTAGAGTAACAAATTTTCACGTTTCCCCAATAACCTAGAGGATCCCCGGCAATGGCACCAAAAACTTGACACGCCAAAACACAACACCAAACTGCGACCAAGTGTAATCGCAGTCCGGGAATGCAGTAAAGTGGCAAGTTTTAAATATCAACCCGGGGTCTAAATCTATTGCCTACTCCGTGATTATCTATTATCTATCCAACTAAGTCGATTGAATTTGGTCTTAACTGAAAGCAGAAAGAAAGCAGGAATTGGTTCGGTTTTCTCAAGCAAAGGAAGAGTCACTCGGGAATGAGTCCCCCTAGCTCCTTAGTTAGGTCTCAATTTTACTTACCCTGGGTTGATTTACTGTCGATTAGACTGCGGAAGATCCGATAGTAGCTTGGAATCTCTTAAGCTGACCAAGCCCTCTTAGACAGAATACCCGGCAGGCGACTAGCCTTCACCGGGATAGACTGCTAAGGCGATTCACACAGAACTCCACTACTGGAATTGGATTCCAGTACAAAGCAGTAGACTGGCTAACTCTCGTATAACCAATCCACTACTACCGAATGATGAAGCTCTAACAACCTAATCAGATTCTATCTATCTTAGGTTGCAGCAGAAATCAAGAAAAGCTTATCAAACTTCAATTAATTCAATGAAATATGCATCATTCGATTAAAATCAAACAGTATAATCATCCCAAGTCATTACAATCAAATTCCTAACACATGGAACTAGGGTTCTTCATACCCAAGTGAGAGAAGGGTTCTACTCCATAGAGAGAGAGGAAAACAAAAATCAGAATAGTCATACTCATAAAAATGAGGAAAATCTGCTCTGGGATGTCAATCTTCCCTCCTGGGGACGCAATCTAGGCTTCAATGGTGAGAAATCCACTCCAAATAGCTCCTAGGGTTTGTTCTTCGCCCTTTCTCTCTCTAAAACTCTGTTTTTGCTCTGAAAAGTCGATTTCCTCACTTGTGGCGCAAAATTGGGTAAAAACCAGAATTCCCGACTCACACGGGCAGGCCACACGGCCGTGTGGCTTACCCAGATGCACGTGTGAGAGTCAAAATGCCGAGTTTCGATTAATTGAAATTCAGGCTTCCTACACGGCCAGGGACACACGGCCGTGTGGAGCCTCTAGTCTGCCCGTGTGAAGCCTCGCACAATCCCACACGGCCACATTGCTTCTTTACACGGCCGTGTGGGTTTTATGTGTACCCGTGTGGCTTCCTCAGCGACTCGCCACACGTCCGATCTTCGTCCAATCGACCCCGAACTCGCTCCCAAACCTTCATTCACGTACTAGGACCTGAAATATCACAAACAAGCACAACCTAGCGTGAAATCGGCCTAAAACACGAGAATCAACATCTCAAACGGCTCAAGAATAGGGTTAAAAACATGTGCAATTAACGGTTTATCACTTTTCCCTCAAATCGAAGTTCGGACAGCCAAAACACAACCAACCTAGGTGCTACCACGATTAAGGAGACTTAGCCTACTTTAGCCTTGATAGGAGACAAGATTTGCCTAAGAAAACCCAGCTTTACAAGCCTCTTTCACAAAGGGGGTTTTCTCTCTACCTAGGTTAGAATGGCAAAATAGATTGATAGGCAAACACACAACACAATGTTCCATGAAAATACCTCCAAATTCATATTAAAACACACCCACACGTAAACGATCATTCCATACAATCAATCACATGGTAGAAGTTATGGTTCACAAACACGCAAGTGAAAAGGGACACTACTCCATGCTAGGAGACGGGAAAAGACAAGGAGAAAGAAGAGAAACCATAATGGAGATGCTTAAATCCTTCCTTGTGTAGTAGAGGCTAGGGTTTCAGCCCAAGGCAAGAATTTGGGACAATGACCTCGAACAAAAACGCAGCACTTCATTTAATCTCTTCACGGTCTCTGGCTTGGGTTCACGGTCTTAAGACCGTGAACAGACTTGAGTCCAGTGAGACTGCAAATTGCTTTGGACGCAGGTCTGTTCACGGTGGATGGCTTCAGTTCACGGTCCACCTGACCGTGAACTCTCTGCTTTTGTCGTGATCTTTGGCTGCCTCCATCCTTTGACCCGATTTTGCGTCTTCTCGTCCGACTTCCGACTCCGGAATTGGTTCCACCTGCTTGAGTCTGAAACACCCTAAAACGAGGCAAAACCTAGTGTAAAACCAAACCACTCAGAGAGCAAATGCCTCAAACTTCTAAGAAAAATGTGGATAAAAAATGTACAATTAGCTTCAAATCACCCCTCTATTTTTTGTTTGTGAAATAATCTGAACTATTGTTGGTGAAGGGTTGAAGAGTGGACGATGGGATTTTGTATTGGGTTTTGTAGTAGTGGGTTCTGTAGTTTACTTCTTCCCATAAATTAATATCCACTTTAGGTGTTATCCTTTTCTTTCTCTTTCGTTTTTTATTCTGGTCAGGTTTCTTCATGAGAGATAGAATCACCTATGTCATGAGCTATTCTTATATTCATTTGTTCGTGCCGTAGACTCTTCATTAGGTAACAAAACCTGATCTCTGGTTGATCGAGCAAAGTAATTGACAAAAATTTAACTCCAATCGACTCTAACTATAGGACCGCAGTCAGAGATAAAATGGAAAGGTTGGCGTAAGAAAAGTAGGGTACGTGATCCAATTAAAATTTATCTTGAGCAGCTGCAACATTCCCAGCCATACCCAGAGAACCAATCCAAGCCAATTGCAAACATTAAACAAGTTCACAAGAAGAAGAGAGAGTGATAAAAAGGAACCGCGACCACCCTCCTTTCCATGTGAAAAATAGATCAGAGATGCCATTGCACAGCTATGCGGATCGATCTTTTAATGGCCGTAAGAAGTCAGTAAAAAGCTAGCATATATAGCCTACACGAATTATAGAATGAAATAGAACCCCAACACGATTTGGTAGGTACCAATAAAATCACGAAGTGAATTGAATCTCATCGGTAAAGAGAGGAAGAGGGTGACCGGAGAGCTTCTAAAAAATTATTCATATTGTTATTTTAAATGAAATTATAGATAATAGGAAAATGTAATTTAAATTTGGATTAATTTTGAATTTCTTAATAATTTTTATGATGACGTGGAACATTGATCGTTGGTCAATGGTATTAGTCGTTGAATTTGATACCAACCCACAAGTTCGATCAAATTAATCTAGAAAGTGCATAATTTAGGTCACTATGGGTATTTCATAAATCACAGGTCAAAGTAGTTTATTTGTATAAATTTCAAACTAATTTAATGTCTTAACTTTAATTATTAAGCTTCACTAACTAATTTGTTAGGGATGGGATTAGGTGCTAACCCTTATAGGGGTTAGCACCGTGATAACTAGCAAAAAACGCTACTAAAAATAACGAAATCACTACAGATTATTATAAAATCAATACAACATTTAAGCTAAATCACTACTAATTCAAACTAGTAGTAGTTTTTCCCATGGTCAGGACGGTGCTAACTACTGTACAATTAGCACCGTAGCCGTTCCCAATTTGTTAACTCTCGCGATTATATGATAAATAAATTGTGTAGGAGATCAAAGTACTAAGTTAACTATTCAATTTTGAAAGTATAGTCAACATTTTAAAAATTCATGTAATCCCGTTAATAAAAGCATCACCACAACTAGCTTTGTTCCCGGCCTTTGGCTGCATGAGTTTCGTGTTTTATCTTATCAGTCAAGTAATTTACAGATAACTAATTTAACTTGTTAAGTTAGTTTATTTTCGAGAAAATATTTGTAGTCTATTAATTTAGATTTATGAGATTGTACCTAAGTGATTGTTTATTTCTCAACTAAGCGGTCGACATTCATCAATGATATTTAAGTTCGACATTCAATTTCTAATGGTTGGATATTGACATATGAAAGTGTAATATAGAGAATTTTGATGAACGATTGTGGTGGAGAAGATTTTTTTTGAACAAACTCCTTAATATATTTTTATATACATATTTTGAAGTTATATATATCTATCATAAATAGGTGAAAAAATTATTATTATATATTTTTATGAACAAATAATTATTTTTAATTATAAATAGATAACCATTTATCACGATAAATAATAATATTTTTATTTCATAATCTCTCATATACTTCTACAAAACTACCAAAAGAAAAGGGGGAAAAGAAAGCCTACGACAAGGAGGAGTTTTAACTTGTAAGAGCGAGGAAAGTAAAAACTATAAAAAAATCTCTCACGGGTATGAAAAAAACTACTGTAAAAAAAGGAACTGTTGAACTTTGAAGGAATTATATCTTTGCCATGGCATCGTTTCAATGTTGGGATTGGGGGGGGGGAGGGGGAAGATAGACGGAATTCTGATGGGCGAAGGAGAGTTAAATGCTGGCATGGAGGCATGTATGACAATAAATTTTGAATCTCAACATGGGAGTTTGGAAAAACGCTTAAAAGTATTTTTAGACAAGTTAATACAATTTTATAAACGCATGTTATCATGCCATTACTACAAACTGATAGAATGCATCATTAAAGTGCGATATCTAACCCACCGCTAAAAAAACAAAAAAAAACAGGGGCAATGGCTAAAGATGTGAAAAGTTAGAAGAAAGATGTGGTAGACTGGATTAATGGCTGGAGCTGCCAAAGTAGTTGCAATTCAACCCTAGCCACCTTCTACCGCAACGCTACTGCATGCATTTCCGGCCATTAGCATTTATGAAGTGTACAGATGCAAATTGTCAGCTATATGTATATATAATATAGCCACTCTATCTGCCTGTGCACTTCACATTATAGTATTATACCATCCCAATAATACACACATCAATAACCAAACGGCAGCAGAAATGGCAGTCCCAGCTACTGTAACACTGCTACTCATTGTAGCTGCTGTACTTCCGATCGTCGTCATTAGAACCGCAGAGGCTCGAGCTTTCTTCGTGTTCGGCGATTCGCTGGTGGACAGTGGCAACAACAACTACCTCGCCACAACTGCTCGCGCGGATTCCCCTCCTTACGGTGTCGACTACCCGACCCGCCGCCCCACCGGCCGCTTCTCCAACGGCCTCAACATTCCCGACCTCATTAGTACGCAATTCCCTCTCCTATGTCTATATTATTATCATCATTAATTCCCTTTCAAATTTATATGTTAAACTAATTTATTTTGGGATGAAATTCTCAGGTGAGAGAATTGGACAGTCGGAGCCTCCTCTGCCATACCTCTCGCCGGAGCTGACAGGTCAGAGGCTCCTCAACGGCGCCAACTTCGCCTCTGCCGGGATCGGAGTCCTCAACGACACTGGAATCCAATTCGTGAGCCATGGCCTACTACCGGAATCATATGCTGGAACTCTAATTATAATATCAACTCATCTAATCAAAATGTTGGCCAGTAATATTGTGACTTCTTAATTAATCATGTATGCAATGCAGATTAACATAATCAGAATGTACCAACAACTGGCCTACTTCCAGGCGTATCAGCGAAGGCTTCGAGGCCTAATCGGCGCTGCTCGAGCCAAGAGGGTCGTCAGTGGAGCACTGGTCCTGATCACGGTTGGCGGTAACGATTTTGTGAACAACTACTACTTGGTGCCTTACTCTGCCAGGTCTCGCCAGTTGGCCTTGCCTGATTACGTCAAATACGTCATCTCGGAGTACAAAAAATTGCTCAAGGTGCCTACTTAACACACGTACATACCTCAATAGTAAAAAAAAAAAAAATACTAATTTTGGTCGTCAATTTGTGATCATGGTTTGTGAATACGTTGCCCAGATTTTGTACAAGTTGGGAGGCAAGCGAGTTCTGGTGACGGGAACAGGGCCGCTAGGGTGTGCCCCGGCAGAGCGAGCAATGAGGGGCACAAACGGAGGATGCTCGGCAGAGCTTCAACGCGCAGCGGCACTGTTCAACCCGCAGCTCGACGAGGTGCTGAACGAGCTGAACAGAGAGATTGGGAGGGATGTTTTTGTTGGTGTCAATACTGCACAAATGCACAACGATTTCGTCACCAACCCCGGAGCTTTTGGTAAAAAAAAAAAATCATGTGATATTGCTTGATAACTTTGTCAATATTGAAGAAGAGAAAGTGATCATGGCTTAACTTGTAGGGGTGTGACCAATTTTCTTTCAAATTTTGGGTGCAGGGTTTGCGACGTCGAAGGTGGCATGCTGCGGGCAAGGGCCTTACAATGGCCTAGGACTGTGCACACCAGCTTCGAATCTGTGCCCGAACAGGAACCTGTACGCGTTCTGGGACGCCTTCCATCCATCGGAGAAGGCAAACAGGATCATAGTTGAGCAGATGTTCTCTGGAACCGCGGAGTATATGAAACCCATGAATCTTACCACCATCATGCAACTGGATGCCAGAACGTGATCCATCGTCATTTGTGAATGGAACTGGAAAAAATTTGGATGTTGTTGTTGGTTAATAAATGCATTGTTATTGTCTTCGTTTTACCTTTCCTTTTTTCGCTTTGTTTTGGGATAATGGAGTTTCATTTGGTAAAGTTATGGTCAATTGGTCATTGTACGTACAATATCAAGGTTTTATTTTGGTGAGACTTCGAATTCGAAGTTCAGCCTGTTGAACTGGAATGTCATTTTCTTATTCAGACTCAAAGTATTAGCTAGAGACTGCAAAATACGTGCAACATTTAAACTCCAGCTGTTTTACATTAAAAAGGAAACTCGAGGAAAAAATCCAAAACTAACACCGTTTAAAAAAAAAATTACAAAAATACCACCCAGACCAAATAATTTCCAAAAATACCATCATTTATATAAAACCGCGCATTTAATGAGCGGTTTTTAATAAAACCGCGTCTCCAGGTGGCGGTTACAGAGAAAAACGCGCCCCCAAGGCGCGGTTTGACCTTGCATGGCTGTCAAACCGTGTTGCCACGTGGCGGTGCATCAAACCGCCAATCGGAGGAGCGTTTTGACGGCTAAAACGCGTGCCAAGTCAGCAATCCGTGTAGCCCACAGAAACCGCTTCCCCGAGGCGCGGTTTGACCGTTGGGAAACTAAAACCGCTCCCCCGAGGCGCGGGTTGACCGTCGGGAAAAGCAAACAGCGTGCTGGAGGCGCGGTTTTTGGTGGCAAGAAATTACTCCACCGACCCTCCCCCACGCGGTTTGAAGCCTATATAACCCCCCCCCCCCCTCCCCCTCTCTTCTCTTTTCTGCACACCATCCACCACACTCCCCTCTCTCCCTCTAACTTCTCTCTACCCAACCCCTCCCCACCCAACCTTAGAATTAGTTTTTTTGTTGGTTGCGGCTAAGTCCGATCTGCCTCCAAAAGACTTTTTCTTTGGTTTTCACTAAAAACCCGTCGAACCTCTGTCCGGATTCCGAGAGAATGGCCGATTTTGCTCAAGAAGAGGGTCTTTTTTATGATGATTATCAAACGGTACGTACTCATTTTTCCCAATTGTTGTTGTTATAATGATTTATTTAATTTATATACTAATGATTTATGTTATTGTTATGCTATCGTAGGTTGGGCCGAATGTTGATATTTTCAATCAACGATATTATGTTGATCAAGGACCGATTGATCCGACAGTTTTATACGATCAAGCAAATCATCGTTCAAGAGACGTTTGGAACGACCACAAGGTACATATTATTTATCATCACTTGTAATTTGTATTTTGTTAAAGTAATTTATTTGTTGTACAATAATTTACTTAATTGTTAATCGTATTGATTATTTTTAATAATTTAAATCAATACAATACAACACTTATTGAGACTCTGTTATAAAGAAATACATGTCTAAGGAAATGGGGACTTAAGCGATCATCATGATCCCCCCATGACCTGGGAAAATCGGGTTCTAAGCGATCCTCGGATCCCCCCTTTTTCTGTCAAAAAGACTGTGTTTCTAAGGAGATGTATACCTCTCCTAAGAGTCTTACGAGTGTACTTGTATTGCTTTAAATTATTGAAAATAATTAATACGATTAACAAAATAATATATTTGATTTTATGTGTATGTGTACAAAAAATATTTATACTTAAATTTCGAATATTACTTTAGTTATGTTAATATTAAGATTTATTAGATAATGTATATTTCTCTAAAACAACCTTGCTTTAATTAATATTGCATCTTTTAATATTATTTATTTATGCTAATATTAATGTTTATTAGATAATGTATATTTCTCTAAAACAACCTTGCTTTAATTAATATTTCATCTTTTAATATTATTTATTTATGCTAATATTAATGTTTATTATATAATGTATATTTCTTCAAATGAACCTTGATTTAATTAATATTGCATCTTATAATATTATTTAGTTATGTTAAAATTAATATTTAATTAGATAATGTATATTTCTCTAAAACAACCTTGATTTAATTAATATTGCATCTTAGAAAATTATTTTAGTTATGTTAAAATAAATGTTTATTAGATAATGTATATTTCTCTAAAACAACCTTGATTTAATTAATATTGCATTCTTAGAAAATTATTTTAGTTATGTTAAAATAAATGTTTATTAGATAATGTATATTTCTCTAAAACAACCTTGATTTATATATAAATTGTATCTTATAATATATTTATATATGTATAAATCATCAACTTATAATGAAATTTAAATTTTTTTCTAGGATGCATACCATATAGTCCGCTATAGGGGCACAACGAATGTGCTTGAATGGAACAACGTCATCTAAAAAGGGCAAGATTGGATTCGATTCGGCATTTTCAACGAGATCAAGATCGACCGCCAACTCATCACGGCGATGGTAGAGAGATGGCGAAAGGAGACACAGTGCTTCAATTTTCGTGAAGGCAAGTGCACCATCACACTTAAGGACATCGCCATCTTAACCGATCTCCCCATCGATGGTGATGTTGTTTGTGTGGATTCTACGCCACCACCTAAAGTTGTTGCCAATATGAGTGGTTGGCAACATTTTATATGGACGGTCACCGGGTTGTGTCCGCCAGAGAAGGGAGATCACGATGCGGATGGTCATCCACCATTGTCCAAGGGCCAAGTATCCATCACTTGGTTGACAGCGGAGATCAGGTGTAAGCACAACCCTGAGTTCGGAGGCATTCCCCTCACGGAGGAAAGTTCGGAACGTGATAAAGAAATTTATGCACGTATCTACATCCTCGGCATGATCGGAGGAGTCTTCTTCCCCAAGAAATCCAACAACCTAATCAGCAATTCATGGTTGAAGATCATACTTGGTGATTGGGATGACATGGGAAACCTGAGTTGGGCATCTACTTGCTTAGCTCATCTCTACCGATCTCTATGTAATGCTAGTGCGAGAGCGGTGAAGGAGATTGATGGGGCTATGTTCATCGTCCAATTTTGGGCTTGGGAGCATTTGCCATGGATTGCGCCGAAGGTTGAACCCGACAGGGAATGGGGTCCCGACCATCCCCTACGACATGAAGCTTATGGTTGTAGGTAAATGTTTTCTATCCCACTCATAGTTCTCACAATTTTTTACTAATTGGATATTTTATAACGAATTGGGTATTATGTATTAACACTCCATACTATTTGGATTGAATAGGTGGCTTGGTGAAAAAACATGCGACAACCTAGGAGCGCATAAGTTGGAGGAGTATCGTAGGAGGCTTGATCGCCTTTGGGAAGCAGAGGTGAGCATCATAATACGCAATTAAAATCTACTTTTTTATGTTATATTATTATGTTGATTAATATTTTTTTTTTATAAACCTTTGTAGCTCAAGTTCGATCCGTATCCAGAACGGATTGTTGCGCATCACGTTCACAAATTCCCGTTACATCCCGGTCAATGGTGCACCAGAGTTCCACTAATCTGCCACCATATAGTGGAGTGGCACTTGCCGGATCGATGTCTACGACAATTTGGACGTGAGCAATGCATACCATTGGATGTCCCAGAGAGTCAGAAGGGGTACCACGGGAAAGATGGTCGACAGGGACCTACTAATTGGCCGGAGGAGTATGGAAACTTGATCCGCCTTTGGAATGTTAGGCAAGATCAGGATATTGTGACGGCATCTAATGTGGGCCGGATGGGCTACCAAGACCCTTACCTGGAAACCTACCGTCGACAATCTGTTCGCTACATGACCCCCGAAGGAGCGGCGGACGGAGCTTTGGTAAGTAATTTTTTTTTTTACTTTTTTAGTCATGCGGTGCATTATTTTCTAAATGGCTAACGTTGTTATTTTCTTCGAATTAGGTTGATGGCATCGAGCGAATCCACGACCTTGCGCGGACGGCAGATCCTTTGGTGGCGGGTCGAGGGGTGGGGCTCATTCGGAGGATAGCGAACAATCTCCTTGGATGTATGCGAGCGCGCGGGCGTGACCATCATAGATACCCTCCAGTTCCCCCAGTGAGACCGTCGCCGGTTGTGCAGGATGTTGAGCCGGTGCCTCCGCCGGTCCATAGAAGGCCAAACAAAGCTACAAGGGATCGACCTCACGTGCCGGAGATCAAGCCGATTGAGGCGTGGAAGGCGCCTACTCCTTTGGAGGTGTGTAGCGGTGAAGGGAGAAGTACTCACTACGATCCCACACCCGGAAGCCAGTATGATCCGCGGTCGAGCTTCCAATACAATCTCCGCCCCAGCTTTCAGTATGAACAACGGCCAAGTACATTTCATGATGGCACATCCTCTGCAACTTGGGCCGAGGGTTCATACTCAAGTCCCCACCAAGACTATGCACCTATGCAGCGACCACAACAACAATGGCAACAACAATGGCAATCCAGTCCTCACCAAGACTTCTCACCTTGGAATCGACCACAACACCAATGGCAACAACAATGGCAATGCACTCCCCACCGTATGAGCATGGATAGCCCTCGACCGCAGACGGAGGGGCCATCGTTCACGGAACCGAGGCGCCATAGCACGGAGGATCGCCCTTCTACGGCGAATAGGAATCTGCCACCCGTTCCACCATCAGTTACACCCGGTGGACCAGTCGCCCATCGCACAAGGAAACAGAGGGCAAATCGTCGAAATAATGCATGAGTGTGCGAGTTGTGTTTATTTCAAGTTATGTTTTGTTTAAATTTAGTTGAACAATGGTGTTTTTAGTTGGAGTTTTTTTTTTAGTTTTTTCATGTAGTGTGTTTGTGTTCGTGAAAAGTTTTATTCAAAAAGATGGAAAATTGCACCAAAGTTTGTGTTTTGTGCAAATCTCTAAGTTTATGAAAATTACACCAAATTTAAGCACACAACATACAAGTAGAGTAACCATTGAAATTAATAAACAAAGATGGAACAAACGCATGAAATCAAGCTAAGCGCCATTATCCAGGTTCACCACATCGGGCCCTGCATTTTGAGGACCAATTGGTCCGGGACATTTTCGTTTATCATGACCGGGTACTTTGCATATGGAACACCGCCTTGGCCCCCGCGGTGGTCTTCCACTTTGATCCATTTCATTTGGAATCCTTTTTACTCGTGGGCGCCCTGTTACCCGCCTAAGACCGACTGGTGGAATGATGACCATACCCTCATAAACTGGCCAGTAAGCTTCATCCAGCAATGCACGGAAACTAGTACGATAACTGCTCTTTTGTGAGTCAATGTTGAAGAACGGACTGACGAAATGACGAGGGTCTTTGCTCCTGTGCTTTATTGCAGCCATTGCATGGGAACATGGTATCCCTCTACCCTGATACTTCTGACAAGAGCACTCCCCTTTTTAGTCCTAAAGTTGACGGTGACTTCATGGCGATGACCCCCACGTCTCCCATCCTCCCAGTGCCCAGTCTCGACCGAAAACTCGCCAGCATGTCGGTTCATCACAGTGACGGTGTGACGAGAGCTCTTCCGATTATCTTTTTCCATTATTTTCATGACATAATCGGAGTGTACCTAACCCTGTGCCTCCCTATTCTCAGACCAGTGGAGACGGTTGACGAACCATCTGTTTGTTTTCCAGAATGTCATTTCAACAATTGCAGAGATGGGGAGTGCACGACATTCCCTGTAGACGTTGTTGATACTCTCGCTTGAGTTTGTTGTGGCAATACCCCATCTGTGACCTCCGTCCTTATGAAAAGTCCACATTTCAAGGTCATGTTGATCAAGCCACTGCGCACCTTCAGGGCATATTTGACGGATAATCCGCATCTTCTCTTTAAATTTCTTCTCTTGGTACGCGACAGCTGTTGAATATAAAAAAAAATCAGATAAGCAAGATCGACCTTATTGCCAATACAAGTACACTCGTAAGACTCTTAAGAGAGGTATACATCTCCTTAGAAACACAGTCTCTTTGACAGAAAAAGGGGGGATCCGAGGATCGCTTAGAACCCGATTTTCCCAGGTCATGGGGGGATCATGATGATCGCTTAAGTCCCCATTTCCTTAGACATGCATTTCTTTATAAAGATTCTATATAAGTGTTGTATTGTATTGAAACATTCCATACTTTTATACAAATGAAAAAATGTACAGAGACACAATTAATTAGAACGCTTACCGATCCACCATATACTGTCAGCAAGCTTCTTTCGCTTGAAATGATGGTTCTAGTTGCTCTTGAAATGCCGTATGCACCATCTCTGTGACCAGTTCTAGGCTGGATCCAAGCCTAAGATAGCAGCCCGTATTCGGGCGTGGCGATCTGAGATGATAGTCAGGTTCGTCCGCCTAGTGACATGGAGCTGAATTTGTCTGAAGAACCAGCCATAGCTATCGGTATTCTCTCCCTCCACAATGGCAAAGGCTAATGGATATACTAATCTATTTGCATCTGCTCCGCTGGCAATCAGTAGAGTACCCTTGTACTTGCCGGTAAGGAATGTTCCATCAACTTGAATCACAGGAACACAGTATGGAAAACCATCAATACATGGCTTGAAGGCCCAGAAAAGATGCTTGAATTGGCGATTGTTACCAGGCGCCGGCGATTGAATTTCTTCATCTTGGTAGCGAGGCGAGCAAATGGTGCCAGGGTTAGACACCTCCAACACCAAAATCAATTTGGGAAGGAATGCATATGATTCTTCCCAGTCACCAAACACGGCAGCCATTGCTTCCTGTTTCCCATGCCATGCTTTCTTGTAGTTAATGATATAACCATAACGACTAGAAATGTGGGCGATGATGGTTTTGACCTTCAGGTTGGGCTGCTCCTCAATTAGATGTTTGATAGCCGCGGCAACCACCCTTGATTTCAACTGTCGATGGCCTTGGGATGTTATTGATGACACACATGTGTGTGTGTTCACCGCACGGGATATGACCCAATGGCCGACTCTCTTGCTCTTGATAGCCCGAACC